TTATTTACTATTATTTTGATTCATTTGGAAAAAAATAATTTCCTTTACAAATTAAGGGAAATTATGTTCCAAATGTTCCAAACTTTTAGGAAACGATTGGAGAAAGTATTCAACTGTCAATGATAGGTATGTTCATAGTAGAACATAAAGATTTTTTAATCTGTGTAAATAAATGTAATAATCAGGATAACAATAAGGATTACATCATAAGACCTGCAGGGATATTTAGGTGTTATCTTCGTTTCTGTACTATAAAGTATGTTTTGTGTAGTTTTGCGTATTCTTGTGAATGCCACATTTGATAGATAAATTAGCTAGATAACAATACCGTTTTCCAGGGGTTTCTACTCTGCAGAGAGACATTCTTATTTAAAAATACAACTTCTTACTAGAATAATATGGCATTAAAATGCATTTCCATACTTTAAACCTTTTATTTTGTATCCTTTGTAAATGGTCCTGAAAGCTACCTCTTTAGTTATATAATCAATGTAGTGCACGTTTCATGTGATTGTGTATCTGCAATCTGTTCTGCCTTCTCTGGTTAGAACACCTTGATTTCCTTTAAGAGAATTCACAGTGTATGCAGTCATGATGGGACCATCATTCAAGGTGCCCTGCCAGGAGCTGGCTGAGATAGTTCAGAATATAAATTTTTAATGGACTCCTTAGTACAGAAAATCAAACTTAGCTTTTGTTCTCAGGTAGCATCTTACTGCTAGTATTAATTAGTTCCTTCTATATAGATTACACAGAATAGCTTTAGTTATTGTCCCTTTTTAATCCTAGTTCACTTCTCTGTTAATTTGAACTATCTTGTATCCTTTCAGTACATTTAAGTGATACCTTTAAGTGATGCTGCTGAAATGTGTATGTATAGCTATAGATTCAGGATGGTGAAAAGTCATTCTACCAGTTGCTTACTTACAAAGTCAGTTGTTTCACAGCTTCACCAATTACCTTATGTGAATGAGCATTAATCTGAAAATTAGGTTAGGCTATCTTGGAGGAATATGAGGATTCAAAACTGCAAATATTTCTGAAACACCCACTACTTTGTGCTCTTTACTTCAGTGGGGGATCCCATCTCTTACCCAAAGAAACTGCATCTTCCTTGAAGGACGTAGTCAATGATTTCTGAATCCCAAGTCCTTATGTGTTCAGCTCATTATTATTATCCAATGTCAATAGACCTGGGGTGAAGAATGATGATTTACAGAAGGGAAGAGAAAGCTTGCATAAGGAAAGAATTTCAGATATCTGCTACAGTCTATCCCTTAAACCTGGAAAATATGAATATGTATTTTGTCATTGATGTTCCAAGGAAGATGTATACACAAAATAAAGAATAAACACATATTCTGTTTCCTACTATCCAGGGTCAATTAGATTTTAAAGGTGCTGTATTGTGTGATGCAAATCCACATTCAGCCTCTCCCAGTAGAAGCCAGAGATGTCAGCATAATGTTGAAGGCATAAATCAAATACTGTGTGAAAGGATAATGATGGATCGGGTCTGATTTTAAATGAAATGGAAAATTTTCCAGATAAATGAAACTTAACAAAAATCAATAGATCAGCAACCAGTAAAAAAAATAGGAAAGTTAAAAATTGAATTTCTGGCTTGAAAATCTACCTAGTTCCTCTAACTCTGCCCCAGCCCCAGAAAAGAAAAAGGTTCCAGAGACTTTCAGTAATAGTTGGTAATTTTCAGGAAAGTTAAAGGAAAGATAATTTAAACATTTTACAGTATTTCACAGGAAGTAGACATTTTGGGGGGAAATGACAAAGTCATTTGTGAACATAGATTTAAAAATCCTAAATGGAATTATTGCAAAAATCCATCTAGTAATGTAGAGTTTTTATTTTTTTAAGTCATGACATTATTAAGTGTAGCAGACTGTTAGTAGTGAACCCAATATTTCTTCATTACCAACAGTATCATTGTATTTTTCATAATGGTGATGTGCTCGGCTAAAAAGCTGCATTTCTCCATTCTTTTTGTAGCTAAGTGTGATCATGCTGCTAATTCTGAGTAATGAAATGGACATAGAAGTTACCGAGAGGGATAATGGGAAGGTTTTTCAAAAGGAAAACAAGTGGGGAAAGCCCCCTAGTGTGTTTTCACCTTTTCTTTTTAATATGCACCATGCTGGATGTTTGGAGACTCAGCAGCCATCTTAGAACCTGAATTCCTCTTGAGGGTGGAAGCTGTCTGCTTGAGTGCAGTAGAGAGAGAAGAGTGATGTGGCTCTCTGGTAATGATGGAGCTGCTGTGCCAGCCCTAGACCACCAAGTCTGGGCATATTTTTACACAAAAGAGAGATGAACTGTCTTGTTCATGGCATCTTTTCTTTTTTCATTGGGAGGAGAGTTGGTTCTGTTATGTGCACCTGAACCTGATCCTAATTAAAACTCATTAGGGTGTTTGGAAGATTTAATATTAGAAAATTTTTTTGTAAAATTAACCACACTACCAGAAAGAAACCATGTGAGTATCTCAGTATGTGTAGATAAATCATTTGATGGGCTATAATACCCACAGATGATTTTAAAATGTTATTAAATTAGAGATAGAAATTAACTCCTTTAACTTTGCAAAGAGTATGTTCCGAAAACTGACAACTGTCATATTTAATGATAAAACAGTAAATGTATACCTTTAAATTAAGAAAAAGAATGCCCATCAATTTTATTGAGCAATATAATGACAGTTCTAGCCAATATGTGAGAACAGAAAGTTGTAAGGAATTGGGGTTTGAGGCAGAAGCAAAAATCGTATTGTTTGCACATGTGATTGTCTATTTAGAAAAACCAAAATAAACTACAGGCAAATATTTAAACTACAGGCTGTAAGGCAAGGAGTTGTTTTGCATAGCTCTGAGAGCTGGCAGCTTGGCTGTGAGCACAAGCAAATCTCTACAATGTCTCCACGCTCAGATTCCAGGCCCTGCTGAGGGAAACATTCTGATTTGCCCTCAAAATATCTGAAGGCAGTTTTGCACTAACTCAACCAAAAGCTTCAACCAAGCTCAGTCAGCTGAAATGCTGATCAGATTGATTCAGCCCCACCTTATCTCCCAGCCTAAGAGCTGTCATTAGAAAATATGTACCCTTTTCTGGAAGTAAATATATACTCAAATAGCAAAGAAAATTATCAGGAATATACAGGTAGCTTATATAATGAAAAGCATCATTTTGCCAAAAAGACAATCCTAAATGTGCATGCACTTAACAAGAAAGCTTCAAAATCATGCAAAAACAGAGGTAAAATGAGAAATATACTCTACCAATTTAGTTGGACACTTCAACGGATATTTCTCAGTAACATAAGTTGGAGACCAAAAATCAGCAAGGCTATAGAAGCACTGAATAATGCCATCAATAAACCAGACCTGGTAGACATGTCTAGAATATCCAACAGCAGAGTATGTATTCTTTTCAATCACATGTGAAGCATTCATCAATACAGGTCATGTCCTAAGTCATTAATCTTAACATTTTTTAAATAATTGAAACCATTCAAAATTTCTTCCATCTATAGTGCAGTTTAACAAGAAACCAATTGCAACAAGAACAGAAAAATCGACAAACACTTGGAAATTAAGCAGCACAATTCTAAGTAATTCATGGCTCCAAGAAATTTCAAGAAAAATATGGGAAATATTTTGAATTATTATATACAACATGTACAAATTAAAATACAGCATATCAAATTTTTTAAGATGCAGAAAAAGCAGTGTGTAGAGGGAAATTAATGGCACTAAATACTTACATTAGAAAAGAATAAGGGTCTCACATCAATAATCTAAAGTCCTACCTTAAGGAGCTAGGAAAAGAAGAGTAAAGCCCAGTGTAAATAGGAATGAAATAGTAAGGATAAGACCAGAAAGCAGTGAAACAAAAACAGTGGGAGGGGTAAGCAACACAAAACAAATTTGACAACTTTGATGGACTAAATTCTTGAAAGACACAAACCACCAAAACAATATGAAATGGGTAACCTGAATAGTGCTACATTTATTAAAGAAATTAAATTCATAGTTAAAATTCTCCCAACAAAGAGAAATCCAGACTCAGATCATTTCACTGGTGATTTCTATCAAACATTTAAGAAAGAAGTAATAGCCATTCTATACTAACTCTTCCAGAAAATAGATGACAAATACTTCTTAACCGATTTTATGAAATCAGTGTCACACTGATTAAAAGAAAAAACTACAATTTCTTAAAAAACTACAAATGTTCTTCATGAACATAGATGTAAAAAGCCTCAATATTAGTTAATTAAATCCAGTAATATATAAAAGGGTAATACATGAAGGCAAATTTGAGTTTATCTTGGGAATACAAAGCTGAGGCTGACTCAATATTCAAAATCCAATCACTAATTCATACCTGACCAACTAAACAATAAAAATCATATGGTCA